TTCACTAACTGTATAAGTACAAGGGGTTATTCTTTATATCGATTGAAATTGCTTCTAAAGTTGATTTGAAACGAAGAAATATATATATATATATATATATCATAAAATTTTTATATCACTTGTGTTTGTTTAAATATCCTTGTTGTTTTTGTATTTAGTTTTGGTTGGAAATCAATTGTTTAACAAGTGTCCATATTATTTTTTCTATTTTTATATAGCATTTTGTTTTCATACTCAATTTTTTTTTACAATTCACAAGTTCTCACTGCAACTTTTACTTAGTTCATTAAAGAGGCAAACTAAGATGAATTTCTATTACACTTTTTACTTCAGTTCAGTTGAAGAGCCTAACTAATTAAAAGATGAATTCCATTGATAGAAATCATTGATATCTTGTGTGAAGATTAAAATTACACAATTTAGAATAAAAAATTAATGGTTTTTTATTATAGTTTTCCATTAAATAAATAATTGTTCATCTATTCTCACTCTTTGTTTCAATTTTATTAATGTAACTAAATAATAAAAATATATCATTACTACACATTCTCAACAAAATTAGTCTAATTTGCTCAATGACTCATATTTATAGCTACCAAATATTTACATTTATTATTATGCTTTTTACTATAACATCAACTTTAATCATTACAAATTATTTTATATTCATAATTTCAAAAAATATTTTATTTTTCCAACAAATATATTTTAACTTATATTTTTAATTCAAATAAATTCGTTCAAAAGAAAATATAGTCAACCGCTTTATTTTTTGTTGGTTGCATATCATTTTCACTTAATAAAATAATGAAAAAACTAATAATAGCTAAAAAAATTCAAATGTATAATAGATAAAAGTGCTATTATGCAACTAATGTAGATATTAAATATTTTCTTCTTTTACTTTTTCAAAATAAAAATATTGAGCTAGCAGATTTGGATAGTAATACAAGTGTAACGCCCCGACCGGCTGGAAACCACTACGAGTTTGCCTTCCTTGCCGGTATAACGTCGAAACCTGTACGAAACTCTCACACTGGAGGGATTTTTTGGTGAAAAGCCTCCAACGCTCAAGTCAGTCTTGAGAAGATGAAAAATATATGTGAAAGTATGTAAAGTGCATGAGAAGTTGTGTGTAAACGTGAGAGATTTCACCCCTATTTGTAGGGGTGAATTACTTGCCCTAGGAGCTGCTTGGGCGAGTTGAGCTGGCTGCCCCAATTGCCCGGTCGTACAATTGCCCGGGCGAGCTGAGCTGGGTGCCCCAATTGCCCAGTCGTACATCCACTGCCTTCACTACATTGGTGTCAGGAATGTGTCAGAGTGCGTCAGGAAGTGCTAGAAATCGTTATTATTATAGACCAATTAGCATTCGCCACGCGTCCTCCTTGCACGTGCTGGGGATTCCTTTAGAGGCTCTGATGTTCGACCATATCTGGGCAGATTGTTGAGTTGTCCCTGTAGTACAAGATGGTCGATCTTATGACCATTCATATTCGATCACCTGCTTCTGCCATGGGTCTATTAGGCGGGTACTCACCAGGTGTTCCTCTACTTGCGCGGCTCAACCTTCTGGCTTCTGTCATTTGTCGGATATTCTGCTCGACCAGATTGATCAACCCGACTCGCGTTGTTGACTCGACATACTGGTCTAATGTATATAATATTCCATATCAGATAGTAAGACCAACCCCAACTCTGCGCTACTTTTTTCTTTTCGCTGGTTTTTCTTCTCCAGCCCTGCGCTAGATGCTGGCGCTATTGTAAATATGTGAATAGTGTATAGCCACATGTGGCGATACACTGTAGATGAACGCTAGGAGCATGTTTGTTTATGAAAATTTTTGGGTTTGTTTGGATTTTTTGGTTTTGTTTGATTAATTTTGAAAATGTGGTATGGTTAGTTGTTAGTGGGTATATTAAAATAATATTTAAAATAAAATAATAAAAATCGGTTTGATGTAAAAGTAGGAGAGAGATGGTTTGAGTGATGGTTAGTTAATATAATGTGAGTGGATGAATAGTGAATTAAGGTTGATGTGGTGTGTATGAATGATTGATTGATATTATTTAATTATGTTGATAATATTGATGAAGTGATGTTGAGTTAAAAAAAGTAATTGAGTTAAAATGTTGGAATTTTTTTGAAAAATCTTATAAACAACCATGCTTTAGACTCTTTTTATTTATTTTTTTAATTTATTTATTTTGTTTTATATTATTTATTAGGTATTTTTTTATGAAGATTAAGTATTAATTGATGTATTTGTTATGTTAAACAATTTGGTTATTTTATGTATAAATAAATTTTAGGTTAATTTTGTAAATTTTGATAGTAAAATTATAAAAATAAATTTATCACAATAAACTACAAATTTATATATATATATATATATATATATATATATATATTAATAATCTTGATTATATGTTTATTAATAATCTTGATTATATTTTATTAAATAAAATAATCTTGACATCTATATATATTATATTGTAGGTAACATAATAATTAACTAAAATAGTCTTGATGTTGTAGGAAATACATGATTAATCTTCTAATAAATAAAATAATCTTAAAATAAATAATGTTGTATTTAATTATATTTTTACAATCATATATTGATACTAAATATGTGTAAGATAATGTATTAATCAAATTATATTTGTAATATTAAAATTAATTTAAAATAATAAGAATAAAATGAAAATAATATAGAGTAAAATGTAGAGATAAGGGTTGGAGACAAATGTTCCACTCTACTATAGAATAGAGTAAAGTGCGCACTAGAGTAGAGATAAGAGCTGGAGACGTCCTAGTTAAAAAAAAATAATATTAATCTATTTTATTTTTTCATTTGACTTCACTCATATTTTTCTGTACAATTTTTAAATTGGAAGTCAATCTAACACACACATACATATAACATACCATTCATTTATTTGCATATTACAACTATGGACTATTTTATTATTTCTTCATTAGCCTACAATTCATTATTTTTTATTCCACATCATTTTACATTAAACCAATCATTATAAACGAGTAATCCTAATGTCGCCGGAGCCGATTCATGGTCGGTCTCGTGTCCCCAGCCAGGGTCGTCGGGGCTGGGATGGTGCAACTTGTTTGTTGATATCCGATTCCAGTACAATGGGTTGGCTACTCGGACAAGGCTAGGTATTCGAGCCACGACTCTAGTTAGGCGTGTATTATGCAGTTTCTGGTGTCTTGGACCGGGTCTCTGTATGTGTGGGTGATTGCTCGTGGGTGTTGGCGTCGTTTTGGTTTGGTTTGGTTGCTACTGTGGGAAGGACTTTAATCTAGTTATTGTTGTGTTTTTTTGTTGTTTTGTTTGTTTGTGTTGTAGATGTGCGTTTGTGTTTTTTCTCTGCTTTTGGAGTGTCTATTATCCCGTTGGGGAGTGTGTATATTTTCGCTGGGGAGTTTTTATGTGTCTTGTGTGTTTGTAGTTTGGTGTTGTGACATGTAGGCTACCTTGGGTAGGCCTCCCATTCCAACTCAGACCAGTTGTAATTATGTGTTTTTAGTAATGAATTCTATCGTTTCAAAAATTTTATGGAGCAATCGGATTGTTTTCTTATGGAGCCATCCATTGCTTAATATATTGACACTTGTCTAAATTGTATTTATTGTAAGACACGTGTCAATATACTATTGGTGAACAAGTGTGGATTGCTCCATAAGCCGAGCCATTCGATTGCTCCATAGCAAAACTGTCTATCGTTTTGAAAAAAAAAAATCCTAATGTTGGTGAATTTGGCGAGGGAGATTCTCTACAATACTTATTTCATCAATAAAAATTATTATTTAAAACTTTCAACCAAATGAAATTATACTTAACAATTGTCTCAATGTTTTTCCCCTACTTTTGAACTATAATTATCATGAAAAAAATAACTTAATAATAAAAGTGACAAAAAAAAAAAAAGAAAAAAAATGGGTATAAAAAATGCATTAGTTTTGACTATGAATGAATAATGATATAAAAAGAAATGGTTAAAGTAATATTTTATAAACCCATAATATAATTCTATATTGTGTTTAGTCAAAATGATAGACGTCGCTTTGTCATTTTACTAAAATGAATTTCAATTTACTTTCAATCTAAAAATAATTAATTCGGAATATCCATAGATACTGGATATTTATGATTCTTTTTAATATCATTAATTATGTTTTATTTTCATTTCATATTCTAGACGTGTGTTATAACACATAATTTTTTTTTCCAAATCTTTATTTTTCCTTCATTTTTTAAAAACGTATAAAAAGTTACTAACTTAAATTATAATTATATTTAAAATTAATATTTTTTATTTATTATCATTTTTTTATATATAATATATCAAATTAATCATGTCTATATGAGTTTTGTTTTGACATCTATATTGTACATAAAAAAATAATAAATAACTAAATTGATATTTATAATAATAATTAAAGTATCTATTAATATCAATTGAAAAAAAATTATTTAATTAATTTTAACTACAAAGTAGTTATATGATATAAGTTATAAAAATTACTATAATATAAAACGATAAGTCATATAAGTGACAAATGTTATTTTAAGTTTAAATAATAATATCGTTTTCCAAGAAAGTATTTTAAAATAAAAATCATGTTTTTAATTTTTAATTTTATATATAAATTCTTAAAACCATTTTACTAGTTAATAAATTTAAGATAGTAAACAATTGACTAGTTAAAAAAATAGTCCGATAAATAGTGAATTTTGTTGGAAATGTAAGAATTGAACCATTTATTAAAAATAAATAAATATTTATTTTTAATAAATAAATTATCAACCTAATTTGAGTGGAAAAGATTTATCCGTGATGGGAAATTGATAATTATTTGCAATGTGCCGAATTTTTTGTAGTGTATGTATATGGTCCGATATCTGAATCCTTCGGGTCTCTGAAATTAAGCAGCGAGTAGAATTACCGACGAGAGAATAATTTGGCTGAGGAAGATGGTGGAAAGGAAGCATTACAAGACAAAAATATGTCAGCTGTATCAAAGAGGCCGCTGCCCTCGCCAGTACTGTAACTTTGCCCATGGCTCCGCCGAGCTCCGGCGCTCCTCCTTTAATGGTATTTTTTCAGTTGTGCTGTACATGTTTGGATCCAATTGAACAGCTAATTCTGTTGGCTTTTTGTACCAAGTAATGGACGCATTAGTTTTTCCGTTTAATTTGCTAATTTCTAGCTCGTGGTCTGGTCTCGATGTGTTTGTGCTTGTATCGAATTGAAGTCGTTGAAAGGGCTTTGCTAGTTCTTATGATCATTAATAGAATCTTGGAGACATGGGAATATTGAAAGTAGTGTAATGAGCTCGAAGTGTGTATACGCTTATTCATTTGTTTATTCTCGATGTTCAGTGCTGGCCTAAATTCTTGATCCCAAACAGAAGGTTGGAAGCTCCATGGACATAGATTAGGATTATAACTCTATTCTGTATATGGATTTGATCAGAGGATGGTGAGGTGCCAGCTTAGTGGAAATATTAACTTAGTAATATAGTTGCTGATTCAATATCTGCTACTACCTCTCGTTCCGTGGCACCCAAAAATATGTGGAACGACAAAAAGTTATCTATAACGTTCAATTCCTAAGCGGCAGTAACACATTATAAATCTTTGTGTAATTATGTTATTATTAGTTGACTTATGTTCCTTCTTTGTTTTCTTTCTAGTAAAGTATCTTATGATCAGTTAATTGTAATTAACAAATTAGTGCATGATTTGATCATGATAAACTGTAAGAAGCTGCATGGTGCCTCTGCTAATCGAGGTTACAAATAATGACTTAGGCATGTGAGAAAAAAATATTTCCTTTTACTTGTTTATGAAGCATCCTATCCTCATTAATCATCATATATCAATCAGAAATTTTGTGTTTTAGTCCTCCCCGATGCAGGAATGTGCTTATGCTTGATGCTTGATTGGATATTCTTGCGACTCAGTGAAAATTAAGAAACTTTGTGCAGCCACTGCCTGTTCGGTTTATTTGTGAAATTTCCAGTGCACTGATTTAATATCATTATCAGAGCGGATAGTGCTGGTTCCTTTATCTTTATGCTGCCTTTGGTGTTGTTGTTTTCTGGGCCTTCATGGTTTTTCTACCAAATCCATCTTCAAACAGATGTGTTTAAGAGGCATCAAATAGGATCCAGAGATATTTGTGCAGTTCGTAGAGAACATGGTAACATGATATTTTCTTCATCTGATTTCATGTAAATGACACTGCAAAGGGCCGCCTATTATCTTACTCTATTATGCAGTGTGCATATTCTTCGACAATTTCATATGTTCTCATATTATTCGTCCACAAAACATTCTGGAAAGTGGGATGGAATCTCTTGGCTTTCTTGCTGAAGTTTTATACCACTGGTGCCCCTTGCCGGTATCATGCACGTCGAAGGATATAATTATTTATTTTCATACGGGCACAAGAAGAACTCTGCACCATTGCTTTATATTCTTATGACACAAGGGCAGAGGATGTCTATCTTTGAATTGCTTCCATCATTCTTGAAGGGATTATCTTTCTATAAAAGCTCGTGGTATAGGCTTATCTATCTTTGTACATGATTATATGAAGTGCCATTAGTTCTATGGCTCATGTGGAATCTTTATGTTACTCATATGTTCCTTGTAATGGTAAGCTTATCTTCACGTAGACTATTGACTTATGGGCTCTTCACTAGTGTCTATTTTTGAGATTATGCCTTTATAAGTCCTTGGTGGTATGATTTATTTTTTCCCCAAACTGCAGGAAGGCAAGAGACCAGGGGAGGTGGAGACCTAAGAGAAAGGCTTGACAGAATACGTTCTCCATCGCATAAGTCATCAGCACGAGGAGATCCTGAAGCAAGGAATTCTTTTCATGGTAAGATGCCATACATTCGTATTTTGATCGCACATTTTTTGACCTTTGTAAATCATCTTCCTGACATTCTATTGTTTGATTCTGTTCTATAATTTTTCAGGAGACAGTCCTCGGTCTCTTGAGAAGAGAAGGTAGGTTCAAATCAATCTGAGTGTTTTTGCTTTTGTCTTATCCTGATTGAATGTTATATAATATATCAGACTGCTACACAAAATTGAAAACTCTTGTTTTGTCTGTGAATGGTTGCATGTATATCAAGCTATCCACTATATCATGTTTTTCTTTCTCATTTGTTTCTCTGGCACTCATCCACACATCTTGTAACTATAATTTTTTTCCCTTAACAAAAAGCCATTAGATACCAACTCGTGGAGCAGCACCATGATTACAGGGAACCACAAATTTGACATATCTACATGAATACTTTTATTTTTTTTAGCTTTTCTTATATTTGAATTTCTTCATTGTTGCTCATTTGAGGTTATTATCTCTATCTTCCCCCTTAAGGTAAACTGAAATTTATGGTTGTTTATTCTGCATGTATCAAGGTTGTAGAGATTGGATCAACAGAAATTGAGAATAGATAGTTATAGATGGTAATGATAGGCAATGTTCTATTATTTGGGATCCAGTTGCAGAATCTTTTATGGGAGGTATTAACCCTAAAAATGTGGCTTTATTTTGGAGATAGAGGAAGAGTATGCAACTTAGCATTTCCATAAGTTTCGAAGGTCAGTTCCTCGGTGGATAAATGCAACGTATATCTGAGAGATTACTCGATCTCGATGAAACTGAAGATATTAAAATGCTGTCAGTCAGATGATTCTATGTTCTGTGTGTGAACACTGGCCTGGTATCCCTGCTGTCTTTCATGGCTATTTCTATAACTCTAAATGTGGTAGTAAGTTTTTTCTTTTCAATTCTTTTTTTTTCCTTTTCCCTTTTTCCATTTTCCTTTCATTTCTCGACAAGGCAGCATTGTAGCTAAACATGCTCTGGATGTAAAAATGATGTTTTTAAATTTGCATCATATAGTCATGGCTTTTTCCCCTTTTGTCTGATTTTGTCTCAGTAGTTGCCTGGAACATTTTCTCTGTTTTCATGGTTGAGTCAACTGAATGTTTGCTTCTCTGAATTCCCTTCCTAGTCTGAGAGGCCGTTTTATTTTGCAGTGAAAGAAACCACCGGAAGATAAAGCAGTTGGATGGTCACACTGGTTATTCTGAGAGAATGTCGGATGGTGATGAAGGCCGAAAGAGAGATAGCAGACGGACATCTTCTGATGCCAAAGTTCGCATCGATGAACAGGTTTGAATATGTTACTAGCTTTTTAGATGTTGTGGAAGTCTCTAAGAACTTGTCATTTAGGGTCCTTATGGTGGTCCTGTAGCTGTCACCTTCATCTTTCCTCCCTCTTTTTTAATGGATTATGTGCAGTTGAGAGAAACACATACTGAAATTGAGAACCTGGAGAGGGACAAGCGGCACCTGGAGGTTAGTTTTACTTTTCTCCCTGCAAAATAGGTGATTGATTTGTATTTAGAGATTAGAATGTTGTCAAAATGTTTATCAACTGGAGCGCTGAGATTTGAACCAACTTTCACTAGACACATGTGTTGGCATATGGTTATTGAGGTGTAGAAAATAATTAATCTGATTTTTAAAAGAATATGTCAAGTGCAGTTTCTGTTCATAGATTATAGTGAGTAGCTCTCTAATGCTGCTTTCTTGTTTTGCTATCTTGTGTGTCCCATTGTTCATTCGGCAATTTCCACAACTTATAGTTTTATTTCTATCTATTAGTGGTGGATAGTCAGATTCTATTCTTGTTAATTCAGCCACTAGAATGTGGTTATTTTTGTGATCTTTTTGTTCCTCACTTATCATCAGACATACATGTTTACATTACATTTTACCTTTCTCTTGTTCTAAAACTGTAGCATTTTCTGCTTTTATAACAGATGTGCCTGGATGATAAGATTAAGGAAGAAGATACATTAACTTCGAAAATGCATGAGCTTGAGATGCAACTTTCTAAAGAGAATGAGGAGGCGAAAAGGTACTAAGTGGTCTTCAGCTCTTTTAATTTTTGTTTGATAGGTTTATGTGTTTTTATTTATTTGTTTGATAGGTTTATGTGTTTTTATTTACGAAAGTTCACACATGGATGTCAAATGTTATTTAGAAGTTCTGGGCACTTGACAGCAACAATTGCATCTTTTGGTTTCTGAATGCATAATATCATTCTCCTAAAATTTCAGCTAATATTGCCTCTCTTTTCCTCTATCTGAGTTTTACTTTTCTCCTAATGCACAGATAATTTCATAAATTTCCAGTTCTCACTATATGAGTTTAGTGAGAGTTCAGTACCTTCAAAGAGGATTCTAAGTCGTCGTTTTGTTTCATTGTTACCTTACTTCTGTTGCAGGTTGAATGAAAAAATTAAGAAGTTCATTAAAGCACATAATCGTCATTTACGATTACAAGATGAACTGAAAAGGTATGGTTTTTATCAATGATGGTTTTTTCATATCGTTTTATTTCCTCGGTATTGTACTTTATGAAATATGATTCTATGATAAGTTTTCCCATACCTTTATAGATCACATGCCGAGCTCCAGAAGTTGGGTGAACAACTGGATTCAGATGCTGAGGGGCTAGGTATTGAAGATGATTCACAAATCAACACCGTAAATGATAGAATAAATGGTGTTTCTAGCCCATTCAATGAGGTTCCCCATAGGAAAAGGCCACGACTTTTGATAGAAGAGCATGATGCATCAACTCAAGGTAGTATAATACATATGCGTGAAGAACCTTTTAGTATATAACTCAATTGGCCTTTGAAATCATGCACACTTGCACTTCGACATTGTTGAGTTGATCCAATTCAGGCATTTTTCAAACATTGGATTGCCTAAATATCCATAGTAGAGAGGTTCTATCTACCTCGTTCCTGGCATTACCATTACTATGCACTAAGTTTTGAATTTCTTTAATTGCTTTGCTTCATGAGTGACTTTATCACATTTTGAGTTGTTGGATTTCTTTCTTATTGTTCAAAGTTACAGTTACCTGTATCATACCTTAAAAATATAGTGTGGCCGACCCAGAGACTTAGCATCACCTTGTCTAACAATTTGGTGTGGAAGTTCCTTATTAGATGTTGCTTCTTATAGACTCCTCTTTCTTTTAATACTGGGATGGTACCAGGAGGATGAGTCATTTCTTGATAATGCCAAAATATGTTGATTTTCTAGATTTTTGTTATCCCTGGCAATTTGACATATTAGTTACAAATTATGTTTCTCGCACATCGTTAAGTTTAGGACTGATTGTCTGTAAATATGGGTTGGACACTCTTCATTTGAGCTAGCTTTTGCAGATGAGTTCTACCCAGGCCCGTTAATCAACATCCCAAGTTTAACAATGATAATGTCCAATATATTTGTTAACAGCTAGGAAAATATTTTCTAAGTTCAACCCTTATTGATGGACCATTTCCTGTTGCATTCATTGCATGGAAGTGGCTATCAATGGGAAGCCATTTGACTCAAAATTAGTATTGATTATTTGACAGACAGTAGCTGGTACTGTTCAGAACATTTCCTGATTGTTTTATGCATTGCTTTGTTTTCTTACGTCTGAGGATACTTTGGTGGCTTACATCATTTGTTCGTTACATAAAGCTTAAATATTTCATTCAGTGAATGAGAGAACTAGAGTGGAAAAGCTTTCTCGACGATCTGGGCATCATAATCTGATGAGCAACAGCAAGAAAGCTGAGGCAGAGGTTGATGCATATAATGAGCCTAAACTCTCAGCTTATGAAGACAGGTCCAGAAGAGGAATAAAACAGCCTGCTGATACTGTTGCCTCTGCTGAAAAGGTGCCTCCTTTTTCTCTAATACATTTGCTATCAGCTTTTCTCATACATTTATAGCAGTATATTTGGTTTTGTCTAAATAATATGCATGTGTGAAATACTAGAATTTGTTCTTTTCAGTGTGGTGCATCCATGTGATCATGTAATTACGAATCTCTCATGCTTCGTTCAGGAGTAACATAGTTTTCTGTAAGGAGATGTAGCATGTTTATTGTAGAGAACATAGAAACGTATCTTGGCGAAGGAGAAGGTTTCAGTGGTTAAGATTTTTAATCAGACATGGAAAAGATACTCAAGTATGAAACCTATTAATTACTCAGTTCCTGTATAATTCTATAATTAGTCGACAAAACGTGCTAGAATATGGTTGGTGATCTTAGTTAACTCTTGGCTTGATATCCATTTATTCTTCTGGGTACTTTTGCAGCATAAGTCAACAGATACAGGCCTGACATTACCATCCACTGGTATAGCTGCTCATGCAATGGATGAAGATGCTGAAGCTCTTGATGCTGATGATAATCGAGGTGCTGGAGCTGCTTCTACACAAGCTGAGTTGAAACCAAGATCAAAATTCTCGAGCGTGCCTTTTCCACCACCCCCTCTGCCTCCCATCCCTCCAAATGTCTATTCACAGGTTCGAATAGCGACTTTTAATTTACTTAATAGAAATTTTATTTGTGTGTGTGTGTGTGTGTGTGTGTTTGTGATATTACATATGAGTAAGACATATTTATCTCAGGTTCATGTTTGATTTCTGATGCATGTCTTTTGTTCCCTTACCTTTAATGTTATACGTGTGATGGATAATCGATAACTAGTCGATATCTTTAAGGGGGACCTTATTTTTATTCAAGTGTTACCTTGCAACCATAATATGTGTAAGCTGAGGTTGGTACGTTGATTTGCTTGCAGTACAATGGTGATGACGAGAATGTGGATATCGATGGACTTGACGAGGTCGTGGACACTGTCTGACATTAATCCAACATTAATCCAACAGTCTTTATTTATGCAATTGTGCTGAACAAGTTTTTGTAAGTTATCGGACCACAGGATTCGGTGTATTAATTTTTTTTTTTTTTTTTCAACATTTTTCAAGGTTTTCCAAGGTTTTCTTAGCCAATGTATTTCACTTGAAGTATTGCTTATGATGACCATGAATTTAATTGTTTACATTTTGGGGGTGTGGGCAGTAGGAAAATGAAGATGAATGAAACACACACACACACACACACACACACACACACACACACACACAACTACTTCAGGGAAGATATGTTTCCTCATTTTTCTGGTAACTTAATTTTGGAGGCAGGCCAATATTTATGTTGGGGAAATTATATGTAATATGCATTTTCGACGTTTGTATCCTAAATTTATTTTTGTGTAAAATGTAATTGATTCAGGAACCCCTATAAATTGTGTACGTAAAAACCCTTTATTAGTCGGCCTTGCCGGATGGATTTTCTATTCCGGCCACCACCATGATTTCCTTCACATTTACTTTTGCTTAAATTTATTCACTCCTAGCATCTCCTTCAGAGCATATTTCTTGGTTTTACTTCTTGTTGCTACTAATTATAAACACCAATGTATTTGTACATTTTTTTTCAAATCATTTTTATTCATTGTTAGGTAATTATTATATCATTCTTCAGCAGAGAATAATTCTACCAGTTGGAATGCATTGGTTTCGGGTCATTATATTATCTTCAAAGCCAGAAAATATAAAATAAGTGGGTCAAGAAAAGAAAAAGGAAGATGCAGAAAACACAAAATTCTTTGATTTTTGGCTGTCTCTAACAAAAGTTAACCAGCAACTTTAATCCTCACTATCTCTAGACTGTTATGTGCAAAACAATTCATGGAAAATTTACGCGTGAAGATAAATTTTCTTCAAAAATGGCCAGCTTTTAATAAGTGAGGAAGTTCAGGTAACAAAGGCATTCATGGAAGATAACAGAAGGATAAGTTGGGTCATGGCTCTTCTTCGATGCATTTGGGGCATTTACATGTGAACCCGTAGTCCGCGAGTGATTCCTGCCTCTCTTTGTAAGGAAGATCCTCATCTATGTACGATATCGTTATCTGAAAATTAAACATAAAGAAAATAAAAAAGTGAAACCCGAGATAGAAGGTGCATAAAAGACACGCTCACACGCAAATACTATCCTTTAAGTTCAGTCTTTTAACTAAAACAAAGACAATTCCACTTATCCTTTTAGATTACAGGAAATTAAATTACACCTTTAAATGTATTTCTATCTTGATTCTTGACAAAACTGCACCTTATCGAGGATGGTTATTTGCTCAACAGATGCAATATTCAAGGTCATCAAGGATTCTTTTTGGTAATTTGGAAAATACGGAAATTTTCTTAATCAGGCTAAAGATAGTAAGGCATTTCAAAAATGAACTCTTACTACCTCTTCTCCCTTTCTAATTGGTCGTTCAGCTATGATAGTAGCTTGGCCATCTTTGTCCTGATGAAGCAAAAAATTTACATTTATGAGCAGTTTCGTGCAACATAAAGGACTCGTGAAGAAAACTTAACAGCATTGCCGAAGGACTAATAATATACAAACCTCTTCTCGCTTAAATGCTTTTGCATTAGGAATGCACGAGTGATTCATACAACTCTGCAACGGGAAAAATGCGGTACCTGATGCAGATTAAGAAACCCGAGTGGAACTTTAATGAGAGATTTCTATGAACTAAAACTGTATTAAGGTCCAATATGATTTGGTATCTTCATATTTTGGCTTTCCACAGTGACATATACCTTCACATGAAATTGAGTAGTCATCTCCAAGGGCATCAAGGAATGATTTTGTTATCTTTTCAGCTTCTTTCTGCAATTAAATTTCATTTCACCTATTCATCCTGTAATACCATAAATATAGCAATAATGTCCTAACCTTTTGTGAGAGAGGAAGATCATCAATGAACAAGAAGTAATCCTCCACAGGCGATGCTACAACCAAATTACTACAATATATATTGGTTAGTAAACATGATATCAAAGTCCATTTGTGAGTATTACAAGATACACAAGCATGATTCATCAACTTAAAATGGTAAATGAAGCACTTACAGGTTATTCAGCTCAAACATGCCAATTATATGACCATAGACATCAAGAGAAAACACTTGGCAAAGGTTAAGGTGTTCAAATGTGAACCAAAAGGGAAAAAGGAAGAAAATTGATTGCTTTCAGTAATAACCGAGCTAGCTCATTAAGTAGGATACGCGGCGCGCATTCTTCATCATAAATGGCTTCCTTCAGGAGCTGTAGTGACTGAATAATTCAAAGAATACTATAAGATTACATTAAGTAGTCAAGAAAAACAACTAGAAGTGCAAAGCACTTGAACGAGGAGCTTGTATTGGAAGATCACGTGGAAACTTGCAAGTTCCTATCATTAAACTATTTAATGGTGTAAACTACTCTACCTTTGTTTATTCCTAAAGTACCCCAGGAAAAAAAAAAAAAAAAAAAAAAAAAAAAAAAAAAAAACCTCATATCACTAATGTAATAATGTGGCATGGTAAAACCCAACCAAAGGAAGAGAACTGGTTCAGGATAAACCAAACTGTCCAGGCCTCCAGGGTAAACCAAAATCAGCAAATGATCAACTGATCATCAAACTTTCTATCGGATATTAAACTTGGCGTAAATACCCTTTCTCACCACGCTATGAAAATGTATCCAGACTTTCACTGATAAGTTAACTTTTTTATCCCAGAGAGTGCAAATGCATTGTGCAATGAATTTGCGACAGTTATGTATGGATATGCGACAGTTGTGCGGTCCATTTGCATAACACTTCACACCTTTTTCGGGTGAAAAAGTTGTAGTGCAAAGACATTGTGCGATGAATATGCGACAGTTATGCGGTCCATTCGGATAACTTTCGCGGGGGTGAAAATTTTAAATTGCAAGCAGGCAGTGTGAAAAACTTAGAGCTCGATTGTTTACAAAATAATTCGTCCAAAATGAGTTAGTTTGGTTAACGAGAGTTAATTTTGAAAAAGGTGGTATGGTTAGTTGTTAATGAGATTTTAAAAATGTACTAAAATAATATTTAAAATAAAATGATTAAAATTGATTTGAAGTAAAAGTATGAGATAAATGATTGGAAATGATAGGTAGTTAAAAATATGTGAGTGGATGGATAGTGAATTTAAATTGATGTGATGTGTAGAATGATTGGTTTGTATTATTTAATTATATGAATAATAATAAAGATAGTAGAGTTGAGTTAGAGTTGAGTTAGATTTTGAGCATGAATTAAATATGAGTGAAATAATTTATAAAGAAGCATGCCCTTAATATATCTATAATGGGGGTGAAAGAAGACTTTTCCCTTGTGTGTTTCGAAGATTACCTCAAATGCTAAATGTTTTATTTGCAATCTGAATTCTTCTTCATCACAAGAGTCAACATCTTCGGGCAGAGCAACACACTCCCACCACCTGCAAATACGAACACCAGAAACTCACTTTCTGAAACGCAGAGGGACTTAGATTATCTATCTATTGGCAATAAGTCCAGTTTCTTGTCCAAGTGCAAAAGACAAACAAGACTAACAGAGTTTACATTAACCTAAGATACTTTGAGTCCTATATTTTTAAAAAAAATTCCAGCTGATACGACATAGATCTTATTTTTAAAACTAAGGAGAACATAGAGATCAATCAATCAATCAACAAGCCGCTAAAATACCACTAAGTGGGGTCGGCTATAAGGAGAACATAGAGATAATTGACATAATATTAAAGGTGGCCATATGAATATACTTGATGTGAAAAGAAACGATGCAGGAGTACACTAGAACACAGCCAATGAAATAAGTTGAGACTTTCTATATTAAGATCTTTAAACTAAAAAGAACGAACATGATTCGAAGTATACCAATAAAGTAAATAGATATTCAGAAAGGAAACAAGTTTGTAATAGCAAGAAAGAGCAGATATCAATTTATTCTTTATAACTGCTCATAAGAGTGGAGTAGCAATTGCAGATCCAGATTTTCTTTGATTCGCGGAAGGCAGGCCATTAAAACATAAGCTTAACACAATTGGAAACAAGGTAGGATACAAAATAACCGAAATAGTTAATCAAGTCCAAACCTCTTAATGCATGCAAATTTTCAGATTACAACCCAGATTGCCAAACCGAAGGTAACCTAATTTTCCGTTCTTGTCACCAAATTAATTCTTCAGGATCAGATAACTACGAAATAGATTTTTGACGAGTTTTTGGATAAAAGGTTTAATATTCCGCAATGGTCTGATAAAACCTTGTTACGGCATTATGGAATTTCTGAAAGCACCTTGCGTCTGTTCAATGCATGATTAAAATAATAGAACAGGCAAAGAAGTGAATGATTTGCATATGCGGTAAAATGAAATAGGGTCCTTGAGAGATGAAGAGTTTGGGACACCTTCTCTTGAATCCCATGGAAACAGGCTTCCATGCCTCCAACAGGAAAGGGGAAATATCATTGTTGCTCAGACAAGATGCATCATTCTTGCCCTGCACTTCACCCTGAACCACTTTCAACTTTCTGTACCTCAAAATGGTAGATGAAATCACCTGGAAAAGAAGACAAATGATATATGATCACTTTTTTGGCCTATGTGCACTGTTCACCTGAACTAGATAGCCGTGTCGTGTTGTGGCTAGCAGCAGATGAGACCAAAGTTAGATATCTCATGTTCGACTGATAAAACTGGTTTAGCCAACATGCATACTACCTGGTTAAATGCTGGCAACACTGGGGAGAATCCATGCATTAAGTCTTACACTAAGGCGAAGAGTAATATAACTTCACTGATAAATTTCTGATTTCAAGAAATTGATCTACAGAGATCAACCTGAGTTTTAAGCCAAAATATCCACAAGTACTGATACACCAACATAGAGCTTGTCTCAAATCCATCATATATTCATATGTGGTGACAGCGCTCATGTGGCATATTTAGTTGTTAAACAAGAAGTCTGCTAAAAAAATTAGTCTTCTCACACACTTGTCACATGCTTGGCAGCTGACAACCAGTCAACGCATTATTTAGCAATTTATATCCATTTCCATAGGATTTGTGATATGAACTTATACACCTGTAAAGTTTTTCTTCAGAGGACAAACTACTGAACTAGCGAGCATTTTGATGCTAGTTGTCTTTCATTCAACCAGTCACGTTACTTAACAATCACAATCTTCAGAATCATTTCAAATGATTCAAACTTAATCAGAGGAAGAATAACTTAAAATAACACACTGCAAACATTCAAGGAGTAACCAGCATCACGGAAATTACCTTTGCGGCAAGGATGAAGATATCATTTGTTTCTGGAGAAAAGGTGTTAGAATGTTAATCAACCTCGTTAGCAATATTATAGCAAGAAAACAATAGCATACTGAAGGACAGTAACAAATTCAGAGAAAGAATTCGCATCTTTACCATTTGCATGTTTCGTGAATTCTTCGAGTGCTTTTGTATTAGGTGAAGATGATCCTTTCCCAGCACAGAGTAATGAATGGAACAAATCCCACTCAGCTTCCGCACACGATTGGCTACAAATGAATCTTATTATTTGACATTTAAACGGATTGAAACAAAAACGCATAGTAAATTTGCGTGGACTAGTAGTGTACTACATGCAATCAGCTTAACAATAACTGATGCATTCAGTTAAACACCATCTAAAGTAAAAAATCTCAAAATGGAGATCATTTAGCTACAAACTTTAACAATTATATTCCCCCTGAATAAATATCACAACACCCCATCCCCATGTCCATACTGAAGCACCTAATTCGTGAATTAGCCTAGCCGTTATATTGCCGTATTTCACAACCGCTGAAGACAACAAAACTAAAATGCCATGAGAAGGCTCAGGTCCCAAATGGTCGCACTAGCTTTACTAATAAGGTAGATGAAGTTCATTTCCCATTAAAAGGAATATGGCATAGTCCAAGCAAGAAAATTACTAATTATATACGTGCAACTAAAAGTGAACACATAACCAACCTGCAGTAATGAGTTTCTAGGCATCCTCCCAGGCATGAAACAACCGAAGGCAAAGGGAACTTCTCTGAATAAGGCAAAAGCAAGTTGCCATTCATTAAAAACTGGATAGTATCTTGTGGGAGACGAGTCTTTTGTGATGAGCTGCTACACGATCCCTCATCATCAGAAGGCCCACACTCATCAACTGCACGGATCCCCAACTCTTCCAGATACAGTTTCCTTCCAATCTGAAGCTCTATAGAGCCAATGAATCGGAAGCAAAAGCTACACACCAAGCAATCGATCTTTCCATATACAAAGACGAGACAAAACAAAATAAATATACAACTAAAAGAAGATACTACAAAAAGGGTATGCGAAAAACATATCATGACACCTTGTTAGACGAATGTTGTGCGCCAGCAAGTATTTGATCCTTCAATATTAGGTCACCTTCTTGAAAATCTACTTCACTGAAAACTCCTGCAGTTGAGTTTCACCAATCCATAATCCATATCAAATCTCCAACAATAGGCAACAGCTCAATTTTTCGCAGCTTCACAATCACATTGCATCTATATTCAAGGAAATTTTGTTCTAATAAAATGGAAACGGAAACAAAGAATCAAATGCAAAGCCGGTTAACATTCAAACACAGCGAATTTTGTTAAGAAATCAAAAGCGAAACACCTTTGCCATGCTCGCTCTCTGGTTTCACCTTAAGCCCGGAGCATTTTCTTTCAGATACAAGTGCTTCATAGTACTCCTGCTAACAGCATAAACAAACATGAACAAACAAATCAACATAGTCCCCCACACGCGTGTACACTACGTGTATAGAGAGAGAAAGCTGCTCGCCTGAACTTGATGAAGAGGCGGAGGAGTGAGAAGGGCGGAAACTTGACCGGCATATTTTGCGTCGATTGGGCATATTGGGTCCTCCATTGAAGTCCTCTCAAATCGCCCTGCTTTTCTTCTCTCCACTCTGTACTGCGCCGCCAACTAGCGTTTGCAATTTAAAAGATGAAGGTGATTATCAAATTTATTATATTCTTACAATTTTTTGTTTAACAATAATATTACATAAATACAAATGAGTAATGCTATATGTACATAATAATGTACATAGGGCGTACATAATACTCACATTTAGTGGAACCTACCAAAATTAAAAAATCAAGTGGACCTCATACCATGTGAGTGTTATGTACACCTATGTACATTTATTATGTATTCACATTCAAAATATATTGCGCTTAAGTGTCAGATTCTCACATTTTGAATGCTGACATGTCGAAAATCTACGTTTCGAAATGTTGTTTATATTTTCACTAGTGCAATACATGTGTACTACACGGGTATTTGTTAAGAAAATTATTTTTAAAGTTAAATAATAATAAACAATTGTTTAAAATTAAACATATGTATTTATTAGGCTAATTTGAGGTTTTTATGAATATTAATGAGTCTACTGAGAACTTCCAAAACAAATCAAGGTTATGTTAGTCAATCAATACCATTACCAAAGGCTCTAATACAACTTAAGGGTTATATTAGTCAAACTATTATGAAATTACCAAGTTAGTTTTTTAATATTTTTGGAATATCTGACCTAAAATTATTGATTTAGAATTATATTGTTTTTTATCCAAACGAAACTACGAAGCTTGTTTTTTGGCCAAGTAGAATTCCGAAGCATATGAAAATGACACTTAGGCTCAACGTATTCTGCAATTATATATAGAGGGGATTTTTGCTCTGGAGTTAAAGCTTGATATTTTACAAAAATAACCTAAAACTTGGTAAGTGTATATATATTTTTGTTAATTTTTTTCTCTTAGTACACATTTACTTCTCAGTTTGAGCAAGTAGCAATTTTACCATATTATAATTTTTCCTATATTTTTCTCCTAAATTAGTCCATCAAAATTTTTAAATAAAAAAATTATTTTAATAATAATTTTTATCATATATTTCTTAACTCAACACCCTGTGGTACACGGATATTTTGTAGTTTCATAAAGCATACAAAAATTCCATAGCAAAACTGATGCTTATGATGTGATCAAAGAAAAAATGTGATCTGACTGTATTTCATTTATAATCACAATATGAGAAAAAGAAAATTTATAATGAAGTACCCACCATAATTCCAAGTCAATCACATACAAACTAACTTCATCAAATCCATAGGAAAGAAGTACCCAAAACTTAAATAAAATTGCTGTTTTTTTTTTTTTTTTTTTTTTTTTTTTTTTTTTTTTCAGGAAAAGCAAAAACAGTCACAGACACTTGAATCAAATTCCACTAGATTAATATTGACATCACCACACTAAGCTAAAATGAAGAAGATCCTTCAGAGATCATTTATTTATGCATTAAAAGACTGCTCAGATAAAGTTCCATTGTTGCATATAATAGAGCTCCAGCTCCATTTGGTCACACAACTTAAAAGTACAATAATGCGTTCCGTCTGATATCAGCACCTGCAGAAGAACAGACGAATCACCTATTACACCCAAACGGACTAATAACGTACAATTTTTTTTTTTTTTTTTTTTTTAGGAGAAAAGGAACGAGAAGAAGCTTATTTTCACTTACTAGCTAATGTAAGTCAAACACAACCAAAGAACTGTTCCAGAGATGTGGTGGAGAAAACATTCGAGGCAGGTCGTTCAAGCTTAGCAGGCGAAATGTGAAGTAGATACTTTATGAATCTCTGAATGACAAAGAACGTAAATTGTGTTTCGTAAAAACAGCTGGGAAAACGAAAAGGATAAAAAAATATGGAGTTTCAATGGGAAAAAAACAGTCAATCCAAACCAACGTTTGTTGCCTTTCAAGTGAATACACAAATACACTGATTTGAATCCCTATCAAGTTCCCACTAAGCTGGAAGCACCAACTTCGAATTCTTTTCAAAACGAAACGAGATATTATCTATGCATACCGCTAATTGGGTAACAATTTCAGGATTCGAGTCTATGTGCCAATCAGGTTCGAGTTGTCTGACAAAAGACGCCCGTCCGTTCTCTGTGCCACAGAAAAGAACCTGAAGTGGATGTGATTAAATAATCACACAGTTAGCAACTAGCCGAAAAAAGGATAAAATAATAATAATAAAAGAAACAGAAAAAAGGCCAGGTAGATGAAGTAGCTTAATGTATGTAACGAACAGGGAAGAAGTTACCTTATCTTTCACTAAGCCACCTGATGTGAAAACCCCAGCATCTTCCAAAGCCGAAAGAACTTTCTTCTACATAAATGTAATCGGGCATGTTACTGATCTTGAAGCAACTTCAAGATAAGGCGATAACAAAGTTTAACAAATTACAAGAACAAATAAAACCTTAATTAGGTAACATGTATGACATGCTATAAGGCTTCAAATCTGATATATAATCCTCCCCAATTATCATAGTACTTCTAATAAGAGTATTTATACAAAAAGAGGTACATCATCATGTCCAATCACGTGATATTTGTGGCTGGATAATTTTCCTCTACCTTCAGACGTACAAGAACTCTCTTCAACCATCCTAACAGGAACAAGAAAGGATACAAATCCGACAAAAATTTTCGATTTTATGATTTGAATATAATCTAGAATTTCTTAAAATCTCTCAATAATTATACTCGAATTTATCTTAGACTATACAAGGACCTTCAACAAGGTGAAAGGATAGGCAATAATATTCTTGCGTAATCAGCATAGACTCAGGGGCGAGTTCCAATCTTGTTGGAGGCTAATTAGAATTTCCTTCTTTGATTTTTAAATTTTTCAGGTTCATAAAACATCTTTCACTTCTATATTCAGAACCTCCGCACTCTTTCTGAACGCATACACACACAAAAAAAAAAAGCAAAAAAAAAGAAGCATAGTTACATTCTACCTTGCACTCTAAATTTCATGTGAGAAACATATAGCAAAACCAAAATACAGAAAACATAAGTCAACATTAAAATCAACAAAACTGAGACAAATGAGTATAAGATATAGTCGGTGCTTTACTTCACTTTCATCATCCAAAACTCTTTCCATGAGATAAAGATCACAAAACTTCGTGATTTCTAAGAGCACCTCCAGAACAGATGGCTTGACTGTTGCTTGTTTCTGGCGGAAATCAAGTAAACACAAATGAGTGATTTCTGATGATTTATGCGTTCAAAGATTAAAGGGAACAACCTGAAGCTCTTCAGGGCTGCTTTCCTCCAGGATCACACCAAGCATACGACAAGTTACCTACAAAATGACGTAACGATACAAGATATTAATTCTGATATCCCATTTGGATAAGCCAAACCAGTAGTACATATTCTGCAAGATAATTTAACAAAAAACAGGTTAAAGCTAGGGAACTATGAACCAAGAAAAAATCAAAACTTCAGCAACAAAGACATCTGAACGCATCTTTAACCAATAGAACACCCCTGTTACTATTTATTACTGACTATATCACTGCAAAAATGAGAACTTCAGTAACAAACCACATTTTAATTCCTTTACGAGCAGGGAATTTCAATCTACTAACAGTATTGAGACATTCTTAATTACTTCACATCACATGGAATCAAATGTCCAAGCTCAATTTTCAGAACTCTAGGAACATCTCTCTCTCAAGTCTCAAGTTATTGTCACTATCTGATGCATCCCGCAACAAGAACCTTGCAACTCCAAAACAATATAATATGCAGATATATATATTCTAAAGACTGCTATATGATCAGGATACTTGAAAGCCTGTAGTGACCAACCACCTTCAGTTTAGAACATCAAAACCACAAATTCTACAGAGGTAGCATGCTAAGAAGTTTTCTACATATTGTCAAGTGTTTTCAAACAACACAAGTCCTCAACTTGCTATTACATGAAGAAGTTTGAAATACTGAAGGGCCTCAGACCAAACCAGATGAAAATCGACCAAGATGTATACGAAAATCGGAATATTACCTTCCTTCCTTCATACAACCTTTGCCTAACAATTTGGCCGAGTGTTGGCTGCAAGACAACATTAAAAGTTAAGCCACATCAAACAAGAAATACGACAGGAAACATCCTGAAATATTTGTCAACCTTTACTGGCTGAAAGAACTCATCAACCACATTCTGGGTTCCAGAATCTTCTGAAGGATTACTAGCATCTGTGGATGCAGCATTATCACTAGCACGACTACCTGCAACTGAACTACTGCCTGCAGGTGCCTGCCTCTTGGGTTGTCTTCTTTGAGGCCCTCTTAATAGCCTCCAAGTAAAAACAACTGCCAATGCTAGACCTGCTATAGTCCCAAAGGAACGCAAATCCTGCCATTCATTTCATTAACGTTCATTATCAATTGGAAGAAAAAAAACTCCATTTTTCCCAATAAATCATTACTCAACTGCTCAGAGAGAAAAAGGTTCAACTACAAAGCCCTTGAGCAAGATTTAAACTTTCAACCCCAATTCCCTAAGCACGAAAATCCCAAAAGAAAAGGGGGGAAAACGGATGAACCCAACAAAACAGAGAAAACCGAAACATACCAGGTGGCGAAGTAGATTGGAGATCTTCACGGTGAGAAAAGCCCCTGCACGCTTGATCAACTGCAGGAAATCTTCCTTGGTATTATCGGCCATGGGAGCTTACACAGTGGAATTTAGTGAAGCTCAAGCTCTTTGATTTTGCATTTGCTCCTCGCGATTCTATGCGGTAGATCGGGTGAGTGAGAAGCGAGAAAGGGTTCAAAGATTGAATTTTTTTTCGACCTGCGCATCATATTGTGGGCATATCTGTAAATTGCAATCATACTTTCTATTGGTACAGTCACAGGATGTAAACCAGGCGAGTATTGGGCATATCTACTTTTTTTTTTTTTTTTTAAGTAATTCATATAAATTTGAACTTTTAAGTATGTTTATAGAAATTTCTAAAATTATAAAACACTAGTCAATTTAAATTATAGATATATTTTAAAATTTGATATTTTTCTTATTTAATTATCCAATTTTTATATATGAATACAACCGTCTCGACAAGACGAGTCCAATGGTAGGGCAGTCGACTAGAATGGATGTCGACAATGTTGGAATTTCAACATAGAATAATTGACAAAAAAAAAATGAAACGAAAAATGTTATTCGAAAATGAAAGGATAAACAGACGCCCGTTTTGAGCTGATATTTTGGGTACTGTAAGAGACGAGTCAAAGACAGGTGATCAAACGACCAAAATGCAAGTGCTACTAATTTTCAAAAAAAAATTAGTAACTAAATGTTCTATACCATGTTTTTTTTTCACAGCAAGTGCTACTAGTTTTCACGAGCACAATTGGAATTTTAAGCCCATTTGCTCCCATGAGACTTATTAGATTAAAAAAAAAGGTCTATCAGGTCATGATTCATGAATATATGCAACTCTATAAAAATGCTGACCAAACTCCAACAATTCAAAAATTTAGGAAATTAAGAAGTATTAAGATCTATTCACCTAATAATCAGGACCACCTACAATTGTATGTCATAACAAACCACACAAAGTTGCTACTTCTCATTCTCCTCACCTCACATCCTTCTACTTCACAAAAATCCTCTTAAACATATGCTACCTCAAATAATCCAAAAAAAAAAAAAGATCAAAATCAACATGATAAAATACATAGCCCAAAGATGGAAACTCCTGAGCGGTCAACAGAACTGGCACAATCTCCTTAACCCCGACCGAAACCTTCAGCGCTAACTCGCCACCACGGCTCCATGGCTCAGGCCACTTACGACCCTTTCAACTCCGAGAAGCAGTCGAGGTTCGCCGGAAGCATCCGCTAATCGAGGACTAGCCTCTTTCCGAGCATGGGGCTCGTCAAGGGCAACCCGTTTGCTTACTAAGCCGTGTGTTACCTTTACGCCACCTCAAACATAGGAGTTCCCGAGCCTTACATAGTTAGGTTGACCTTGTCAAGCGATGCTTGGGGCAAGGACTCCAATTGGATGGTTCAGGGTTGGTGGTGGTGTGAGAAGAATAAGGGGATATGGTTCAGTTGGAATTAAGATGGGTCTTGGGAGTTGCGTGATCACGAGAAAGATGATGGTGAGTTGATTTTGTTTGGAGCTTTTTATGTGGCTATTGACAATGTGCTTGCATTTTTAGCTTGCATATATCTAGGTTGAGCCCAAGGTCCAAGTCCAATACTGACTTAGACCTTCGTAATCCACCCCACACGCCAATTGCCAAGAACCAAGGTCCGTGTCTATGGCTTGTGCCCTTGCTATGTTGGCTGACAGGTGGACAAACACGTTTGATAAAACCAACATACACTTGTTCACAGTTATAGTTAGTTGTAACCTTTTAAACTCTTTTAATTTAACAAAGAGAATTATCCTTATTTTATGGTTCAATAATCTTTTAACAAAAAAAACACACCCATTAAGCATGCGTATCATCACTTTATCTTCTCTCTCTAAAAAGCCTCAATCTTCTCAAGAAAACCTAATCCTCTAATCGGCCGAGTATCGTGCCTTCCCCCAGCAGGGCCTTCGGGCCACCACGACGGCAGCGTCTTCCGAGTCGTGCGGTTGCATTTCGGGGACTCGTCGGGAGTGGAGGCGGCCTTTTCCTCGGGCGAGATGGGGTCTTCCCCTTGGATTTCGTCGTCTTACAGGTTGCCAAGGTGGGTCGGGGTCCGACATTTCTTCGGAGTCTAGGCGGTGACGAGCTGCCGGCGAGGCTGCGATTGAAGACTGCGGCTCCTTTATCCCCTCGGAGGTAGTCGAGGTGGTAGTCAGGGCTGAGATAAGGGCTGTTTCACTTTCCTCACTTTTCCCATTTAACTCTGCTCTTGGGGCCTCTGGGTTGTGTTTGCGGAGTCAGCTCGGGTCGGGATGGGGCCCTGTGTCCTGGACCTGGGTTGTCGGGTCTTGGGAGGTGGAGTATGTTTTGAATCTCCGATTGTGGGTCTTGGCCATGGTGTCGGCATAGTTGGTGTTCGGTTTGGCTACACTGCTGCGGGAAGGACTTTAGTTTTAGTTTTAGTTTAGTTGTTTTGTGTTTTTTATTGTGTTTGTTTGTGATGTTGCCTGTTAGTGTGCATTTGTGTTTTTCTCCGTTTGGGGAGTGTCGATTCTCTCGTTGGGGAGTTTGTATTCTCCCGTTGGGGAGTGGGTATTCTCTGGTTCAAATTTCAATAAACATTTGAATCTCATAATCAACATTTAAATATCTATTAATTTAAATAACTAACTTTAATAATTTTTTTTTTTACTCACCGAAATCATTTTTGAGATAGTTATATATCATTTCTCCCTTGCATAAATTAGATTTGAAATAATTACATATACCACAAATATTAAATGTAGAATTTTTCTGTACAATGTAATTCAATAAAAAAAAATTAAGCATGAAAACATTGGTCAAAGCCGAATCAAACAATATATATTACTAATAAATTCAATTAATGTTTATTAAAATTTGTTAAATAACCTGTAAAGCCGATTAAACCGCAGGGACAACTTCCCAAATCTTCTTTATCCTCGGTTGATAAACATGAGAGTTGCTATAAGTTATAGAACATCGGAAAATTTGCATTTTCCCTCCCCAACGCCACTTTCCGATTCCAAAACACGGTGAAGAAGAAAAACGAGAAAAAAATGGCTCTAATCCCAAGACCCTTCGCCGCCACCCGATCCCGCCTCAGAGACTTCCTCCTCCTCCTCTCCGCCCTTCTCTCCGCCGCCATCCTCCTCTCCCTCCACCACCTCAACCACTCCTCCGCCGCCGCCTTCTCCGCCGCCGACCCCTCCTCCTCCTTCTCCTCCCCCACCCCGCCGCTCTCCCCCGATCGCCTCCTCTTCGCCGTCGCTTCGTCCGCCGCCTCCCTCCCCGCCCGCGCCCCCTACATCCGCCTCTGGCGCCGCCCCATCGCCCACCTCAACACCACCTTCCTCTTCCTCGACCGCGCCGCCGCCCCCGATCCGCCCTCCTCCCTCCCCCCGATCGTCGTCCCTCCCGGAGCCGCGTCCGTCGCCGCCGGCCACCGCATCGCGCGCGTCATCCGGGACGCCGTCGCCCTCGATGTGCCCGGAATCCACTGGTACGTCTTCGGAGACGACGACACCCTGTTTTTCCCTGAGAATCTTGTGAGGATCTTGTCCAAATACGACCACAATAGGTGGCACTACATTGGGTGTGGCTCTGAGAGCTACGAGCAGAATGAAAAATTCTATTTTGATATGGCGTTTGGGGGCGGAGGGTACGCCATTAGCGCGCCCCTGGCTCGGGTTTTAGCTCGGGTGCTCGATTCTTGCCTCACTAGGTACCCTCATTTGTACGGAAGCGATGCTCGGGTGTTTGCTTGCATGGCCGAGCTCGGTGTCCGGCTAACAGTCGAGCCCGGCTTCCATCAGGTAACGAAGCTGCTCGACATTTTTCCGAGTGGATTTAGTGAATGGGTATTATGGTGATCTCTGTTGTTAGATTGTGAATATTCACTTATATTGGTGGGTTTTAACTTTTAAGCTTGTGATGTTGTGAATTGTGATATGGCTATGGACTCTGAAAATTGATATGCATTCATTGCTGTAGTGTTGAATTTGTCTTAGATTATTTTAAAATGTGAGGTCTTGATCTGACTTTCATGTGCTTATTGTTTAACAATTCTTCTTATATATTCATACCTGTTTATTTTGCTAAGTTGATTTGCGTCACATATGCTGCCATAGTGTAAAATTTGTTTCTTTTTTACTTTTACCATTTCGTTTCGTGATAGTTAATGAGTGATTGTGATTCTTCCCTCTTGTGTCTTTTTTAAAGTTAAATAGTTTATCTTATTTGGATAGTTAAGTTGAGCATTGGTGCAAATGATACCCTCTGATAGTTTACCATCGAGATTTTGAGTGTAGTGGATGATGAGATGCTTAAGTAATGTGCAGAAGCTTTTATGCGTTAAAATCTCACAGTGTTCCAAGTAAACAATGTGCATTCCCTGCAACATATTAGAAGATGTTTCTATTATTTTCTTTTTTTTTTTTCCTTGTATTCCTCTGTCTGTGTGACCCCTTCACATTATTGGCCTGAATGTCGATGATAACTAATTTTACAAAAATATCGAATTAAGAAACTAACTAATGGGTAGTCGGTTGTACTTATGACATTTCTTGGCAAATGTTTTTAATACAAAAATTGTTCTTTCTTGTTTCCAGGTTGATATTCGTGGAAATTTATTTGGATTTCTGTCTGCTCATCCGTTATCACTAGTGGCCTCACTGCATCACATAGATGCAGTCGAACCCATCTTTCCCGGTATGACCAGAATTCAAGCTTTGGAACATCTTCTCAGTGCAGTTCATGTCGACCCACCTAGGATTTTACAACAAACTGTTTGCTATGACAACCGCAATTCATTAACGGTTTCAATCTCTTGGGGTTATGCCGTTCAAGTTTATGAAGGAAATCAGCTTCTTCCTGATGTTCTTCTGCCTCAGAGGTCTTTCAGGCCATGGAAACGAGGGAAAAACGCCCCTTCAATAACCCGTTATATGTTTAAAACAAGAGAGTATCCAAGTGATCCATGCGAAAGGCCTGTTGTTTTCTTTCTGCATACAGTTGTTGCTAATACAACTAGTGTCTGGACCAAATATGTTAGACATGATAAAGCTGGAAATTGTCCTAGAACAAAAGCTGTTGAGAAATTGAAAAGGGTCAGTGTTTTCTCACGCAGTCTGGAGTTCGATGTTGAACAGGTACTTCAATCTCGCATGACCCATTTTCATTAACTTAATTGTCTTTTTTTTTTTTTTTTTTTTTTT